TTTGAGCGTAAAAAACAAGAGATATATATATATATATATATATATATATAAAGCCCCTTTTCCCATTGTAAATTATTGTACTTACTACTTCGGAGCCAAAAAAAAAAGTTATTGCATTACTAGGCAAGTAGGTCTTGATGATATTGACTATTGAGCTTACTTTTCTAAGATCTAGGTGACGACAAAGAGCTGCTTCTTAATTTATGTGGTCGCTACAAAACGTTTGCACATCTTTTAATATTAGAATAAAGAATTTGTGCTTGGTTAAGATTCATGAGATACTTCAATGTTAATCATGTTCGGTGAGCTTGCGATATATGTGTTCCATGTGATGAACCAACGCATAACGAATGTTACCTTCACTAGTGGCATCAGTACTTGTCCCTGTCCCATTATCATCTGCCTCCAAACCGTTTACGCTGCCATTATCCAATTCAGAATGACTTTCTCCTCCGGAACTGTTATTCTTTCTTCCAAACTTCAACAATCGTCTGAATCCCTTTGATGATTCCTTTACCTGGGTCTTCACCACACTTTCTGGGATCTTTTCCAGTTTCAAGTTTCTAGAATCGAACAGTTGAGCTTGAATAGTCACCGAGCTAGTTGCTACAGGCTCTAGGTTTGTCAAGGCTGCTTTGCCATACTCTGAATTCTTGGTACATGGATCTTCAAGGGAAGAAACCCGAGCATAAGGGGCTTGATATGGTTTTTCGGTAATATCAATGCCTGAAACCTTCGGCAGTTCCTTCTTCGCATCACCCGTGGCAGCCTAAACATTGATATTTACTCGTCAATAAAACATTACTAAAAACAAAGTTCTCATTTAAATCACACGTGTAACGTTATTCTACATGGGCATTAACAAAAGACAAAGTGGACTGTCAATTTGACTAGTCGAAGTGTAAACTACAATCATAGAATCGCAACTCATTGCAACATGGATGGGAACAAAAAAAATTAAATCAAACAAACAAATGAAATGAATTGAGTAAAAAGTTTTGAATTCCTATTAACTAATTGTTGAAATGTTTTTGTGCATTAGGAATACTCCAATACCATGAGACATGGTGTAATTCAAACAGCACATACCCAAAACTGCAAATTCAAGCTCATAAGAACTGCAAACTCCATATCAATCAGTACAAACAATGAATAGATTAAATAAAAAAACACTTGGGTTTCCACGATCTGACCAACCATACCTCATAAGTAGTTTGCTCGTTTATTCTGCGTTGAGTGGATTCTCCATTAGTTGTGTCCCTTGTAATTTTTGAAACTGGCGCACAGATAGCAGCATAATCAGACACCCCCTTTGTGTTTTCCCCGATTTTAAAATTCTCAATCTGTTTGTTCTCTGCAATCAAGTTTTCTTCCAATGCTTGTGCAGCAGTAATGGAAGGTTTTTCACATTCAAGCATCACAATATTCTTTTCAATTATGGGGTTTTCATCCCCTTCACTGTGATCTGAAAATTTTTCGTTTCTCCTTTTTGCTTCTGCATCTTCAGAAGTTGTAGAAGACTTGATCAAATTACCCTTCTGCGTGACTTCTTTCATTGTTGGCTTGCTCTCAGGTCCTTTAGTTGTTCGAATTTTCAGTTCTGGAAGTGTGGCTGCCTTGCTTCGGTCATGGTTTACTATTGCAGAGATTTTTTTGCTCTCGGACCCATCAGATAGTTTTGATTTCGACGATGGTCCAGCACTCCGTGCCTTCAATGAAGAAATAGGGTGGCTGCTACTCATTTTCGGTTCTGACAATCTTCTAATACGTGCCATAGATGCCTTCGTTTCACTTGCAACGCCACTACTCTCTTTCTTCGGTGCAGCAGGCAGTGAAGTCGCAGAGCGTGTCAACCTATTTCCAGCCGACCGATTTCCTGCGTTTAACCTGCTGGTTTTGGATGTCTTCTGTGAATCGTTTGATCCCATAGAAGAGGTTCTGACGGGGTACCGTTGAAGTGGTGATGATGGTCCTGGTTCTGAATCGCTAAATTTCGTTCCTTTTAGAGAGCTTGGCGATGTCTTTGTTGGAACTAATTTCCTTGTTGGCTGAGCAGGGATAGTAGCCGCTCTAGAAGCAATTCTCTTCTGCCTCTCTATCTTAAGAGCTTCTAACCGTTTCAAATCAGCCTCTTCCTGTAAAGACAGGGAAGCTAAATCACGCGCCAATATACAAAAAAAAAAAAAAAATTATATATTGTTATAACTTACAAGTCTTTAAGATATGTTTACAATCGGTTATGTGAAGAGAAACTTAAAACTCGAAGAAGAAACAAATTAAATACCTTTTCTTTCTTCGTCTTTTGCAGATCAGCTTTATAGGTTCTCAACTTCTCCGCGCGTGCCCGCGCTTCATCCAAAGGACTCAACTTTGAAGGCCTTGCTTTCCTGATTGGCCCAACATTCTTCTTCTTATCATCTGCAAGCAGTTTAGATTTTGGGCCCTTGTCCGGCTTCTTAGATCCTTGCTTGACATCAGTCGCGACCTCCTTATTTCTCTTGTTCAGCGGAGCACCATCTGCAGTATGAGCCTGCATTTCATAATCCAATGCAGGGTCATAACCAATTGCCCCATTTTCAGCTTCACGCTGAGGCATCATAGTCAGTTCTTCTGGCTCATAATTTACTTGGTTCCCGGACTTCTGACTGGCTGATGGTAACTCGGAATCCATGTGAATAGCATTTATGTTGTCATTTCCAACTTGACCCGAAGTCGATCTTAAGGGAACTATGTAGGAAGCATCGTCAATATTTTGTGATGACCTCCTATCCACATTATTTGTGCCACGTTCGAATCCATTTACAGCCAGTGGATCTGAAGAGCCTGTAAAACCTGATTGCCTATCAATCATAAAATCCTCATTGGTGGACCTCCCATAGCACACCCTTCTTCCTTTTATTTCTGAAGCAAACACATCACCTTGACCTTCCGTGGCTCCTGTCGATCCATCTCTTCTAGAAATCATAGGTTCATCGGTTGAACTTCTTCGCACCCGAGTCATGTTTCCACTCATTTTCTGCATATCCATTGTACCACCATTGTGAGACCCACCAATATCTTGTCCACCGAAAAGAACAGGATCTTCACCCCCTTTATTTTGTCGCCTTTTTGAATGAACCTTGTTTTCCATCGAAAACATGCTTTGGTCACCAGCATGTTTGTCTTCATCAGCATCTCTGAGTAGGAAGTTCTGGAAGGCTTGCCAGTGTCCGCCATCTGCCTCCTTCCCGAAAGCTATTTCTTCCTCATTGGCTGAACTTCTTACATTATTTTCTTTCCTCTTTGAGGACCTAGATGAGTTCTTATGCCTCATCTCCGAACCACCTGCTCTATCTTCCTCATCAATTTCAGCATCGGAACCCGATCGTGATTCATCCTCTGAATCGTTCTGCCCCTTTGAAGCAATGTAATTTATGTTTCGAATAACAACCACTCCTGATTGCTTTTTACCTGACCTGCTGCCTCTCTTTCTCGGTTCCTTCTCCAACTCCGCATCATCTGAAGACCTTGTTCTGTGAGCATCGATCTCCCATGTTTCCGATTCAACATTGCCATTAGTACTGTCCATGGAATGCCTTTTCTGTCCCATTCTTTGACCTGGGTTTAGTCTAGGATCCTCAACTGCCGGATAAGGTGGTTGATAAAATGGGCCAGCCCCGGGGTAGTTCTGATAGTAAGGCATGCCTTGCATGGGATATGCTTGAAAAACTGGCACCGTGCCTGGAGGGGAATGAATAGGCCAGGGAGGGAACATCTGATGTGGAAACTGCCCTTGAAAATATTCTTGGGGACCTGGGGGTGGCTGGTGCTCCAAGGCCGGCTTTTCATCTGGCAGATAGGTGAAGATAATTCTTATAGTTAAAAATGAGACTAGATGCCACCTTACATATGGTTTAGGAGCAAAATTATAGCAAACTAGTGCAATATTGCTATCTTATGTGAATCAAAAAGCAAGCTTTTTATGCAAGATTTTTTTTTATGCTCTTGCATGTTTCGACTAACCGTCATTGGGCAATTACCGAAAACATATGCTCTTACCCGTACTGATGAGACTACTTGATTTTCCATTACTTTCTAACGCAAACTCGGCATGGGATTCAGGCCATGATTTGGCCACACTAGAAAGCATAATGCCTGATGCATTCATGGCAGAAAAGTCTGATCGGCTAGACATTGCTTCAGCAGCTTCGATTTCAAGCCACTGGCCAGATTCATGCTTTTTCTTCCATAACTCCTTAAATCTCTTACAAGCATCCCTATTACATTTAACAAAATTAAGGTCAAGAAGAGAAAATATGATATATCAAAATATATCCAAAAAAATTTAATATTGCTGGGCCAGAGAAAAAGTTATATTAGACGTACATTAAACGCGAGGCTCCAAAGCATACAGAAAATGACATCAAGGGGGAAATGTTATCAATGTCAAAACCAGCCGCTACGGCACGCGCAAAAGCCATGCCTTGCTCTTTTTGAAGCACCGTTTTGCGAGTTTCCAGGACTTTCAAAAGCTGAACTCTGAAAGAGATATACAATTAGGAAAAAAAAAAGATTAATATTCACAAGAAATACTAGTTAACAACTTGTGGAAGTTGAACACATAAGCACAACCAGAATCACCATTGAAGATACTATGGAAAGCATGATGGGCTCAAAATTATACTTGGCTATTGATTATGCACATCGAGTAGCAGGAAGTTAAAAGATGTAAAACCTCTTTGAAGTATAAGAAATTTAAGCTGATCACTACACTGTCGACAAATAATCCAGAGTCAGAGAAACACCTAACAATCTACATTGATAATAGTAGTTTCTTTTTCAGGTTTTTAAAGCAGTTATACGACGAATTTTTAAGAAATAGTACTTACTTTGAATTCCCCTCTTGTGCAGCGGATTCATTTGATTCAGGTGGATGCACTCCCGGCTGTAGGCGTCCAAAGAAATGGCATCAAAAACTATTTGAACAAAAAACCAAATCAATGGTGGCTCTGTAATTCTTTCTCACCTTGTAAAGAACGATTGCTTTCTCATCACCACTGTCCAGCAAAGATCTGTTACCTGTCCAAAATCATTGGAAGCTATTGAAAAACCAATTTAAAGATTGAACGTTTAGTTTTTCAAATAACAAATAGAAAAGAAATAAGATTATGCAAGGTACAAAACTTAGGTAACAAAAACTTTCCCTTGAAAATAGGAGGGACATATGTGGTGGAAAGGGCTATGTACAAAAATAAGCTTTTAGAAAACAAGTAAAAGAAAGCTTCTTCCTTTTCCAGTTTTCCTAACTCCTATAACACAATCCCCGACCCTCGGGCCAACCTACATATTAAATTCCCACCTCGCGTCCCCTTTTCACGGTACCTTCAATACTTTCCGTTGGTTTTGCTGGACTTTCTTCTACCTGCCATATACAAAATAACTGATATTGACCTTTCTGACACAATACCACATAGAAATCAGTTCCTTTCAACCGACGAATTATACTTACAGTGCTAGGTGCCGTTTCATTGTTTCCTTGAATTGCAATTGCCTCCTCAATCTGCAATATCTCAGATTCTAAGGTGTACACACGTTCCAATACCTCTGGAGTGCTCACAAAACGTACAAACCTGTACAATATAATACATATATCAGCCACGATGAATGGTGCAAAATAAAACAAAGTTTGCAAGACAAACTCCCTCACCATTCTCCAAATGAATCCATGCAAAGGGAAAAAAGTGGGGAAAAAAGGATAAATAACTGTGAATAGTGCATTATTTACCAGAGATCCCAATATTTTAATACCATCAGACATGATATGTGAATTGTCATTCTTTCACTAATAGATGTTTAAAAATTACCACGCCGAATTATATTAAAAATATAAAAAATCACATCCACCAATGAAAAACAAAATGACAGGTGAAAAAATGACAACTCGCCAGCCGCATGGGATGGCATAAAAATTCTGGGATAAAAGTTGAAATTCCTAGCATTTCTCACCTCTAAATTATAACATGCCCATTGATTAAGGTGAACTTACATATAAAAGTAATATAATGTACAAAAATACCCAAAAAGAGAAAAAGGGCATTAAGGACATCAATACAAACCTTTCAACTGTACCCTTTGTGAACCATGAAACATCACTGCCAGGCTCAGGCTCAAGAATAATGGAATAACCGCCCTTGGCCATCTGTTCTTGTGCAGTTTTCAAGTGGGCAAGAAATGGATTCAGTAAACCCGAGGCTATCTTTTCTGTCTTCCCATTTGCAGATATAACCAAATCACACCTAAAACAGTTCAACAACACAAATCATAATATAATTACAACACAAGAAATGAGGCAAAAAAAAAATTTGTTTCTATTGTGGGATCACGACGTTTATGATCCTGTATTCCCACAAAGATTTTTCTTCACAAGTCAATCTGAATTACAAATGATAGTATCTGAACTTTCCATTCACAAAAAGACAAATTGAAAAACTTATACCAAAAATGAAAAAACAGCAATAGACCAGCTTAAAGCTGAATTTTCAAGATAAAGCAAACTATTAGACACATGGGCTTCCAAAAGCTTGGACCCAGAAAACTTACAGGACTGAATTACGAGAATGGATGAACCCCAACAAAAAAGAAAAAGAAAAAACAATAATATTAATTAAAGAACTTTCCTTAAAAAGCACAAGAATAAAACTTCAGACCCAAAAGATCCAAAGCCAAAAACGGAAATAAACACCATTGAGATCGTTTAGTCTAATAAAAAAAAATTGAAATTTCCAAGTACTAAATTGCATGAGAAGAATCTAATCAATCTTGTGTAAAATCAGACAAAACAGAAGCAACCAAATAACAAGCTCAATGAACTGAGAAAACCCATTAGAGTGGGAACAGTGAATGGGATTATTACCGAGTCCGAGTTGGTGTGAGTTGAAACACAGCTGAGTCAAGCCGAGTTGAAGACTTCATTTTGGAGAGAGAATTAAAAAGGAAAAAAGCTCAAAGCTTTTGGAGTTTCCGGTGAAAATGGAAGTGGAAAGTGGGATCAGAGAGTCATTGGAAAAGAATGAAAAAATGGGTTCAAAGTTCAGAGCTTAAAGGAAACATAAGTTTCAGAGAAAACCCATTAAAGAGGTCAGCTTTAAGCTCCAAAAAAGAAAATAATGCTTTTTTTAAGAATACACAGAAGAAAGAAAGAAAGAAAACACAAAGAGAAGAGACATGGATAGAGAGAGAAGAAAGAAGGGATATTTTCTAGAGAGAGAAAGCATTGGAGAGAGAAAGACAGAGGATCCAAAGAGACTATTCCACTTAGGATACCAACTCAACCACAGAGAGAGAGTCTGAACGAAACTTTTGCTGTCATTCAACATATCAGCCGTTGAACTTCACAACCTGTAAATAAGGAGGACAGTGGAGGGCACAATGGGAATTTCACGAAAAGTGGCGAAATGCAAAAAGGACAAAAATAATATATTAGTTGGTTTGTTTTTTTCTCTATTTTTTTAATAAACGAAAATAATATATAGTTGTTGGAAGATCAGGCGTGAAATTACCAAAAAACCAGAGTGATTTCCATTGTAACTGTTGAGAGTTGAGACCGCCACTAATAGAGTGTTAAGAAACTATAATTAGTACAAGAAACTGCACAAAATAAAGCGATTTTTATGGTAACTGATATTCCCCGAGTAAATAAAAATCTGATTTGATGGTGCAAGTTTTTCTTCTCTATAATGCAAAAGGAGTCATAGGAAAAATATTTATTTTTTTTATTATCTTCTTGTAGGATTCTCGCGCTAAGCAAATTTTATTTTGTGATATTTGTTTTCTTTCCTTTGTAATAACAAATTTGAGGATTCTTTATTTGTTTTTATTGGTAAGTTATTAAAGTAGACACCATATACTAAACGAAATCAAGATTTCTACTTTATAGTTTATTTGCGAATGTTGTTTTGGTTATATTGTAATTCTTGGTACGAATTTTGGAGGACTACTTTATTAAAATAGAGTTTTCATTTATTCTTTAATCTCATAAGAAGAATGCAAGATGACAAAATTGGCTCAAACATAATCTTAAGATTAAATCCGTTGGTTGGGATTTGAAGTATTGTAGGCATATTGAGTTAGGTTCATAATGGATTGCTTTTTTCTTTTAAATTTTGATTAAAAATTAGAAAAATATCATTCATTAAACTCGAGGGGAGAAAAAACGAACATTATGAATTTTATATGAATTCCAATCAATAACCCAAATCAAACAAAATCCAATTATCGCTTAATATCAAACCAAAGGTCGCAAGTTAAAACTACCAATGAAAAACAAAATTAACCAATTGTGAAGGTTTTACTTCCCAACCACACCCCAATTTCGTCCAATAACTGAAGACGAAATGGGGGCTCGAATTTTAGACCATACCCTCCTCCTCCCTTAAAGAGAAATTGTCTTGAGATCAGTCGTCGATCATCTCTTTAGAGCTTGTGAAGATTAAGGGCCCATTTAGTTCGCTGATTCGAGTTTTTAATTCGAATTGAGATGTGATTTTATGTTAGAGCTTTTACTGTAGCAAAAAAATTAGATGTGATTGTTTGTGAGAGCTTTTTACTGTAGTAAAACTCGAATTCTAAACTTGAATTAGCGAAATGAACGATTTATGTCTATTTGACTCAATTCGGCCGAGTAGATTTTCTTTTCCATATACAGAGGATTATAAAACTCTCATTTCATTTTTTTTTTGGCTGAATTATTTTGTTTTTAGAAAATTTCTCACTAAAACATAAGTCTAGATTTTTACTTTTTATTTTTTATTAATATCTTTTTAACTAATATAATTATTTGACTAAAAAAATAATAATCAAATGGGTAAAAATTCATACATGTACACTCTAAGAGGTATTTGTCTCCATTCTTTTTTTTTATCTTATACAATGCAAATATTAATGCTAATTGTATATTTAGCATTAAAAAGTATGCTATGGTATATTGTTTATTTTGGATTAATACATTTTTTACTAATATAGTTATTTAACTAAAAAATATATTAATCAAGCGGGTAAAAATTTGAACTTATGCACTTTAAGGGGTATTTGTCTCCATTTTTGTTGTCGTATACAATGCAAATACTACTGTTAATTGTATATTAGCATTAAAAAATATGCTATGATATGGTGTTTTTATTTTTGCTCCAATACATAATGTTATTTCAAATACTAAGGGCTTTTTCTTTTGAGTGAAAAACTCAAAACAAATGCAACTCGAGTTACAACTTTATTCGAGTTCATGTTCTTTTAAGTTTAAACTCGAGTTTAAACTCGAGTTTAGGACTAAAACTCGAGTTCAAGGCCCCATTTTTTTCGATGATTCGAGTTTAGAATTCGAGTTTTGCTACAGTAAAAAGCTCTCACACAACATCACATCTCAACTCGAATTAAAAACTCGAATTAGCGAACCGAACGGGTCCCAAGTTTTCCCTTCAACTCGAGTTCAGAAACTCGAACTCAAATTAATGAACAGTATTTTTATATTCTCAAAGATTCTTATCTCAAATCATAACTCAAATGTATACAACCAAACATAAACTCAAGTTACAAGTTCAACTCAAGTTATAACTCAAATTCAACTCAAGAATTATACTCAAGTTAAACTCCAAAAGAACAAGCCCTAAATCTTTTTTTTTTTTTTTTTGTAATCATTAAGCTTTAAAAGATGTAAAAGTAAATTTTTATTTTTAAAATAATTAGAACATGTAAAAGTTGGAGTGATTATATGAAAAAGTAAACATTTCAACTAATAGTAATTAAATGCCAAATTTTTCATAAATTATACTTGTTGAGAAATTTATTATATAATATAACATATGAAAAATTCAATACAATAAATAACATTACTTTAAGGAGTATTTTTTTGAACTCAAATACTAAATCTACACTTATCATATATATCAATTATATGGTTGTATTGAAAATGCTCTTATTAAGTAAAACATACACACTTAACACATTTTCTCTTGTCCTTATTAGGTGTTTATTTCTTTCATGCGAGATGTAAATTTTTACTACCGATCTGTCTCCTTTAGATTTAAAGATTTTTGGACTTTGCTTCATATTAATGTGGCTTTTATTAAATAAAAGACAAGAGAATACCTAACTTGCTAGCTTATGGTGCGCAAACTTGTTGATTGATCAAAAGATCAATTAATATGTACTAGCTAAATTCAGCAATAATCATCATTACGGTGGAATAGGGGTTAGTATGAACTTATATTAATGGAACTTGATAAGAAGGAATCTCAAAAAGGTCCACACGGTTTATGATTATATAACAGATTACAAAAGCAACAGCCATTTATTAGTGAATGTCGTGACTTCCAACCAACCAATCATGCCTCACAAAATAAATGGAGAAAAAAAAAGACTAAAAGTTGATGAATGTCTTTTTGTTACACTACTAAATCTTTTGTTTTGCACGGATATATGTCCTACAAATTAGTGAAAGTTTTATAAGTACTCGCAATTAGGGTGTTCACCGATCCACTTATGTGATATCTGATCAATACATTTATGGTATGTTTACATACACGTAATCAGAATGAACATGAATCAGAGTGGGCAGGATTTAGAGTGAGTAGGATTCGGAGTGAGGAATCGGAGTCAGAATAAGCTGTTTACTTAGTGATATGATTCGAAATCGGAGTCATTCCAAATCTCATTCATACGTTTACTTACACCCAGAATCGGAATGAAAATGTGTAAAAGTACTAATATACTCTTTAAATCAATTTTATATTTTCAATTTAAAAAATATATTGTGTACTTAGGGCCCGTTTAGTTCGCTGATTCGAGTTTTTAATTCGAGTTGAGATGTGATTTTATGTGAGAGCTTTTTACTGTAGCAAAACTCAAATTTTAAACTCGAATCAGTGAAGTGAACGAGACCCGTTCTTTTTTATCCTGGAATGAGAGTGAGATTGGTAGGCCCCACTCAAATTTGGGATTGAGGAATGGGATTGGCACTCCCATGCATCCCCTTGGGATTGAGACTCTCATTCTTAATATTAATATTAAGAATGAGAGTCTCAATCCCAAGGGGATGCATGGGAGTGCCAATCCCATTCCTCAATCCCAAATTTGAGTGGGGCCTACCAATCTCACTCTCATTCCAGGATAAAAAAGAACGGGTCTCGTTCACTTCACTGATTCGAGTTTAAAATTTGAGTTTTGCTACAGTAAAAAGTTCTCAGAAACAGTCACATCTAACTTTTTTGCTACAGTAAAAAGCTCTCACATAAAATCACATCTAAACTCAAATTACAAATTCGAATCAGCGAAATGAACGGGCCCAATAAACATAGGATTGACTCCCTTTCCCCACTCTCATTCTTCAATCATGATAAGTAAACATGTCATTAGATCAATTTGTGCTTATTGGTCGGGAGGACTTTTACTTGTACACATTAAGTCAAAGATTTTGAGTTGATTTTTGAATTGAGCATTTCCAATTTATAAAAACTCCAATATCCAAACTTTGTATGTGTGTGTTAAAATAATTAAAAGGTCTAAGACAACTTTATCTATTAATAAATATAGACACATGCATATATATATATATATACACACACACGCGTATATATGTATTTGTGTGGTAACTTCTGTATGTTGTTTCTCGATTTTTACAAAGAAACATCACTTTAGAAATTATGGGTGAATCATTTTGAAGTATATAAATTAATTGTGAAAACTTCACTTTTTAGTTTTTTTGTTGAAGTTTGTTCGTTATTATGGATCGTAATGTCACGATTTAGTATAGAGACTCGAATTCAATTGGGTTATAACCAATTAGAATTAATTCATTACACTATTTTTTGTTGATAGTGAAAAATGACCAAGATTGAGGGAACTAAAATCTCTAGATTAAGATCTGATTCAAAAAAATTAAAATACCATCAACTAATCAAATAAAAGTCAAAATAAAGAGAGAGCACGAGAATTTAGGGTGGTTAGACCAAATATGGCCTACATCCACTATGATTGCTCAGTTTTTTCATCGAATTTTTGATATCGAACCCTAAACTCTCAATTACATGCTTTCTCAACATTCAAGGAAAATATGAAAAATGTAAAGTCTAGTACAGAAACAAGAGTCTTGAACCTCTTCTTTTTCTCTTGT